CACCAGATACATCACAAAACTTCCTGCCACCCCCACCCCCAGGCTTCGGTTCTGGTGGGTCAATAGGCTCGGAAACAGAAGACAAGGACTCTGGAAGGGGTCCCAGTTCAGGTTCAGAATGGGGGAGTGGTCGTGGAGGTAGTTCAAATATAACACTAGATCGGTCTATAGTGGAACATACCTCAAGTGAAGTGGGATTAGACTATCAAGGTTCACAATCAAACAGACGATCGAGAAATGTTAAAAGTGCTGAGGAATCTCAGCTTGGATGGTATGCACCTACAGGATTAGAATGGTCGGATCGAAACTTTCATCCAGGTGAAGAATCTCTATCCCGTGACTCAGCGTTTCAAAGCCCGAATACAGATAACCTAGCACCATCACTACATATTACAGAAATAAGTCAATCTGCTGCAAATAAGAGTTCTTCAATGCAAAAAGCATACTCACCATCTGCAATAACTCTAACGACTATTACCGGAAACACTCCTGTTTTAGAAATGAGACACAATGGGACCCCAACCCTGTGTGCTCGGGGACTCCCTTCAGCATCAACAACAGATAGTTTGGCCACAAGTACAACAACTTGTACTACAGTGGTCGACATAAGAGAAGGACAAGATGAGCATACAAATAACCCCAGAGCTGGTCCATCCACTAAATATCGAGTACCAACGCCTGATCCTTCATGTTGGGAACCGTATAAAACTGTAATTCATGTGAATGAAACTAGTCTTGAAAAGTTTACTTTAGTGTAAATATGAATAAAGTAACAATCAGTTCAAAATATAATGAATTATCAGAGTGCAATTATCTTGCTTACACTTCCAAATAACAGAATATATGCAATTTATTTATCACCCATAAGCGGATTTCAAAGGAAAAAATCTCATAAAAGCAAATCAGAACTAACTGTGTTTATTACTGGATAATTTTCATTTGTATTTGTTGATCTAATTATTACTAGAATTGCTGATCTGATGATCATATGTAAATAAATTTTTTTTCGTTTTGTTTCAGTAATAAAAACTTTAACTTCGAACAAATTACTTTTTCTAATATCAGTAGGTCAATAACAACAGATTAAACTTAATTAAAAAAGACAGTACATCCCATTGACATTTTAACAGTTCTTCATCATACTCACTACACTTCGTCAGTAATTAACCGAGCACTTGCTCTGCTTTATTATGAATCGAAGCTATATCAATCTTAATAGAAGCCTAATTTTGATAAGTCACTTTTTTGTGCCATTGTTATATCAGTGTGGTTTAATCACTCAATTTTAAGCTACTAGTTCAGGTGTTTGGAAACTCATATCTAATCTGATTAGAGGAGTCAGTTAGTACATCTACATTTCACATGACAATAATGGTTGATAGATTTTATACTAATCTATTCCTGGATTAACGAGAAACTTTTAGACTGAGAATATTTTGGAGTTCTTTCACTTATTACAGTAAATAAGGTGTTTTTGTCATATTTTCCTAGTAGTCATTCTGATAATCGGTTTTATCACCACGAACTATTATTATTTCTGTTGTTAGTATATCAAATCAAATTCTAGTAAGATAAACAGCAACTCACTAAAATAACAATATTTTCTTCAATAAGTAAACAACTGTAAGGTTACACATCACTTCCGAGTTAGCAGAGTATGAGTGATGAAAATTTCGTAGAAGACATCTCGAAAAAAAATTATAAAAGTGAAATTTGCGTCATATATTGTATTTAACATGTTGGAAATAAGCGTCTGGAACAAAAATAAAATGCTTAGAAGTAAACAAGTAGGATGCTTTAATCTAAACATTACAGCTATCAAGAATCCAATAAAAGTGTGAAGATTTCCACACTGTTCCTATTACTCAACCATCTAGATATATTTCTCAAACCAACAACTTAGTCTCGAGGCAAGCAAGAAGTTAATATTCACATCGAACATTGTAAACACGATTTTATTCTGGTTTATTGGTTAATATGTTACTCTACTATGTACTTGGTGCTTCTGAAATATCGACTGGAAAATAAAAGTCCTCACTAGATTACTCACTACCAACCTACTTAATTCAGTAATTTTATAGAGCAAAGCAGTTCAATGTATCTTGCGTTACTGTCCTTTACACTCTACTACACTTTTCAATGTTAAAATAGGCTAAACTTAGTGAATATCAAGTGTACCATCAGTAACAACGCTCAAATTTCAACAGTATTTTGGAATAGCAGAGCTAACCACATATGCGACTCGGCTATAATACTTAGCCACGTTATTTTGTTCGGTTTTACTATTTGTACGAACGTATACAGCTACCAGAAATATGTAGTGAAACCTCCTCCTAAAGCGTTGAAAGACTATATTCTTAGTGTTTTTGCTTCCCACAATCTAAAGAAGAAGATGTTACGAAGTCTAATAAACTAATTTCATATCACCTATATTAGAAAATATTACCGAATAATATGTCAGTCGAGGCAACTAAGTTTTGTGAGAAAGTTAACATGTATGGAACATATACATATTTCGACGTCCTGCTATAGTTGTATTCTTTTACCTTAAGGCGGTGTTCGACTCCGTTGGCCGTGAAGCTTTGTGACAGTATCTATCAGTGAAAAGCACCCTAAAGTAAATGAACCTTATACAGGCTCTCTACTCGAACAGTACTGGTCGATTCGAAGCTTATGGAGAACTGTCATTGGAATTAGTTACTTCAAGTGGTCTTTGTCAAGATTGTACGCTTTCCTCATCTTCACTAAACTTAGTCATAGATATGCTCTTAGAGATAACACTTTCATCGTCTGACATATCAGGAATTGATCTACCGGGAGATTCACTTGTTGAATTAGAATACACAGATAATTTAGTTCTGTTTGGTAAAGACGCTGACAAAATAGTCTTTTGATCATCTTAAGCAACAATGCAAGCATGTTTAAGATGTGGTTCTCCCCCCCCCCCCAGAATGTAAAATGTTGCTTCAAGATTGCTTCAGTTCGTTACCTAAATTAATGATAGGAAGTAAAATAGGTGAGTCCGCTGATCGCTCTACTTATTTTGGCAGTCCCACCAGTACTGATTGTCTGATGCCTGACGAAATCTCGGCATGGATTCAGAAGGCTCGATTGGCGTTTGCCAACTAGTGTCACTTGTGATTTAGGCCAGATATGCATCCTCCAACCACAGAACGAGTTTACTGCTCAACAGTTCGTTTCGTTCTGCTTTACCGATGTGAAACGTGGCCATTACAAATGGAGGATATACGTGCGTTACAGGTATCCGATCATGCCTTTGAAGCACTGTCAGTGTATTTTAGGACCACTGAGTAATGTCTAGGTTAGGAATAGGGTACTACGTAAAGATGGCAAATCGATTAGGGGTAATAAGTCTCCATCGACTGGGGTGGTTGGGCCATGTGTTACGTACGCCTACCTCGATGGGCAATGTTTTTTTCTGATGTGAGAGTAGGCTGGAAGAAAGCTAGAGGTGACCAAGCCAAAACATGGGGTCATTCCATGAAGTCACTAACAACTAGACTTAGCCATGTTAATATGTGCAGATTACCTGGTTGAAGTCCGCGAAATTACAGTAACCGATGGTTAGACTTTACATGAAATGGCCCAAAATCGTTTGCAATGGTCCAGATGCATCCGTTTTTTATCTTCCCTAAATCCCAATATTCTAAATTCCTCATAACCTTTTTTGCTTTTAACTCACTGATTTATATTTTCTTGAATCGTATCTTCGATGCCTATTCTTTCCCAATACTTACCATTGATACTGTTACTTCCCCTACCATTCTGGGATTTGGCCAGACAATTTCAACGCTTTGTGCTAGTGGAGTATGTTAACTTGAACCGATGTACATACGCACCGAGTTCTACATCATGAGTGACTGATTGAAACTATAATCAGCAGATCCTGGAAACAACCTCGATATAGATGTCCCTGTATAGTCAGACTGATACCTACCCACGAAATTAGTATATTCAAAACATTCGTTAGGAAAGTTAACCTAACGAGACAACTTACCTTTTTTGAGTATCGCTTGTCTATTACAGCTTGAGGTATAGTAAACTATGGGATGCTGAACAAAAAATGATTACGATCTGGATCATTTGTAGGTCACTAGGCGTTAAGACGGCAAATGATTCATGGTTTATTACTCATTGATCAATCTTGTAAACATCTGTATAATTTCCAGAGTACGACTACAACAAATCTTTTTGACTGTATTGACAGAATCACGTCACAATAACTGTTGTATACAAAACAGATTTTCGAAGATGAGGATACAAATGGTTTTATTTCAGAGTAATGAGACAATATGATTGTATCGCCGAGAATTGTGAGGCGGTTCAATTAAGTGTATTTACAGTACCCCGTTTTCAATCTTTCGGTCGAGTTTGAACCACGCTCCTTTTGAGCTGTTACAGACAGTCGAAGAAACCCCTTTGTAATCGCCTCACTCGCACTAATTCCAGACCCCTTCTACAAATTTACAGCTAGAATGAAGTGATTCACTGAATAGGATTACACAACAATGAAATTTATGGCAAATGACTTTTAAGGATAAAAGTTTGGTTGACTAGTAAACAATTCACTTCCTAAAATCACATAGAAGTAATTATTGAATTGAACAACATAAAGACAAATTCTGAAAAATATATTTCCTAGTAATCAGTTGTACAAACGAATCAACATTAGGCTTTACATTTGTCAATCGTTTGATGGGAATAATCACATAAGTTGGCACATGTTTGAAAAACGGTGAGGAGAATTCCACAAATAGCTTACTAAACAGTATAAATATGAATTGATACTCCGGGAATCTTGATAACACGAAAATTAATAATTGACTTGAAAATCTGGACTTAATTGTTTCTTTTGATCCGTTGACTGACCATTATTCAGTACGACTACATATATCCATATAGTCCAAAGTAAACTATAATGAAAGACTTAACGGCTGATTTTTATACATTATGTACACGATGCATTTATACATAGTTTATTAGAGATTAGGTTTAGGTCTCAAAATGAGCTTTCCAGAATTATCACATGCCATATTATATTCTGCTAAAACAACTCGACTGCGATGAGCTATGATACTAGGCAAAACAACTTTTTTATGTGCTCCCATAAAAAAAAGAACCATGAGAAACAAAATGCTACATACAAACTCTGGGTGTTTTTTCAAGGAACCGATAAAACCGGCTTGGTATGTGACAGGATCGATAAGCCAACAGTAAGACGAACATAATAGTATCAGTACAGCTACAGACAAAACAACTCGCCACTTATATGCTTTCGGACCTAAACCATTGATAATTTCACGAAGACGACGCTCAAATGCTTTAAGGTCTTCAGTTGGTTCATTTGGATTATAGTTGATGTTTTGCTGAAAAGAAATTAAGATAAATAAGTAAATTCTAAAAGTGCACTTGACAGGAATACAAATGTCTAACAAAACATAAAAGGATGCTTTATAGACTGGACGGCTCAAATGTCAACGGGAAATTTTAACACGACGAAATAAAGATAGTAAGCGTATTTAAATTATGAGACAACACAGATTAGCTTAGTCATTCAGTCAGTCAGCTACAACGTAGGACCAGGCACATATGTGCATCGGTCCAGGTTGCCATACCTCACTAACACAACAAGATGAACACTGGATTCATAAAAGTAGTTAATTCAGAGGTGGTAATATATAAGAGAAAGATTGCATATAGAGATATAGTACAAGAAGAAAGAATTGGTTCGTAGAAAGAAAGATATGAAGTGATTTTAATCTCTTAGTTTAAGGGAAGATAGAGAGTGTATACACCGACGCCATTGTGATCGATTCTGAGCCATGTTACCAAGTCTCCAACCATTGGTTACGATAGTCACGCGGACTCCAACCAAGTAGTCTGCATCTACCAACATGGCTCAGACTAGAAGTTAGTGACTTCAAGCACTGGTGCTACGTTTTGGTTTGGCCGCCCCTAACTTTCTTCCAACCATCTCCAATACCGGGTAGCATTGCACGTCGTGGTAATTGGTGTTCAGGCATACGTAACACGTGGCCCAACCATCTCAGTCGATGAAGATTCATAACCTCATCAACTGATTTACCATCATTTCCTAATACCATGCGTCTAACCTCACTATTACTTACCCGGTGATCCCAGCAGATGCCAGCAATATTTCTAAGGCATCTGTGGTCAAATACTAGGAGCTTACGAGTATCTTCTACCCTTAATGGCCATGTTTCGCTGCCGTAAAGTAAAACAGAACGGACTGCCGCGCAGTATACTCGTCCTTTTATTGATAGACGGATATCTCGCCTTCGCCATAGGTGACGCAAGTTGGCAAAAGCCAAGCGAGCTTTTCGAATCCGTGCTGAGATTTCGTCGGACACCAACCCATTAGGGCTGATCAGACTTCCAAGATAAGTGAAGTTGTCAACGCGATCGACTACTTCACTCCCTATCCTTAGTTCAGGTGTTGACGCAGACCAGTCCTGAAGCAACAACTTGCATTTAGAGGGAAAGAAGCGCATTCCAAACATTCTGGCATTGTTGCTTAGTGTTACCAAAAGACTCTGCATTTTGTCAGCGTCTTCACCAAACAGGACTATGTCATCTGCGTATTATAAGTCGATAAGTGGACCTCCTGGATGGAGATCAATACCCGAGAACTCAGTCGACGAGAAAGTTATTTCCATCAGTAGATCTATGATGAAGTTAAACAAAAATGGGGAAAGTGGACAGCCTTGACGGACACTACTTGAGGTTGCAAAAGTAGATGACAGTTCGCCATAAGCTCTGACTCGACTAGTAGTGTTCGAGTAAAGAGCCTTCATAAGGTTTATGTACTTCTCAGGTACGCCTTTCAATGACAGACACTGCCACAGAATCTCGCAGTCTATGGAGCCAAATGCTGCTTTTAAGTCGAGAAAGACCACCGTTGTCGGACGCCGATAAGCATGCCTGTGTTCTAGGACCTGACGAATGGTGAATATGTGGTCGATGCAGCCACGACCAGGTCTGAAGCCGGCTTGAGTCTCTCGTGTTTGCAGTTCACGAGTCTTAGTTAGGCGCCTGATAATTATCGAAGCTAGTATTTTAGATATTATATTAGTTAAACTAATCCCTCTGTGGTTGTCACAGGATGATTTTGACCCTTTCTTATATATTGGGACGATAAGTGATTGCGGCCAGTTAGATGGGATAACGTCTAACTCCCAGATCTTAGCTAAAATATTAGTCAACCTAATCGCTAAAATTGGACCACCATCCTTAAAGACCTCTGGAGCCAGTCCATCTGCCCTTCTTCGCTTCAGATTAATTATAGCCTTTTGAACTTCAGCAAGAGTTGGGGAACCTACTTCAATGTTCCATTCACACTGTCTGGGCTAATCATTCGCACTAAATGTATTTTTCCATTACGTTGCCCCAAACAATCAATATTTTCGTTCTACATTGATGCACTTACAAGCCTATAGTATTTTCATTAACAAACTTTGTAGGAGTATATACACCAACATGTACGTGAAAAAATGAGAAAAATCTTTAGTCAGATTAACAAAACTAGATTTGTCATCTAACAAATTAATAGGTGAGATAAATCTTGACCGAAGTTGATGGCGACTAACTGAGATAATATTTGCATCGACCAAACATGATTCTTTGTGACTTGGTAACAGAACTACTACTACACAGGTTTGTACAGTCATCGGAAAGCGACCTAGCTGGAAACAGTAGTCACTTTGTATATAGTCACCCATACAATTTCTGGAGAGAACAAGGGTTACTAAAACGTGAGTATTCTCAGGAGAGACTCAGTTGCTAAATTCCACATCCAACTTCTGGTAGAACTGCTGAATGAAGACGACTAATCCGTCACTCAATTAACCAGTACTTGATACCTTGTAATGTGATTAAAGAAAAGATGTCAATAGTAAAAGAGCTGCAAAGAAAGCTTTTTGACAATCAGCACTTCAACAGTATTGAGTGCTAAAAGAAGGTGGAAGAATTCATCATATTACGGATAGGAACAGACAGGCGGACGAAACGTTTGGCATGCAGTTGATTCGTTGCTTAATTAAACAAGGGCTGGGGAAAATAGAAAATGGTGCTGAATGGTCAGACTGAAACTTAACACGACTGCGAGATCATAAGCGAGAAAACACAGGTAACTGTTCAACGAAGGCAAATGAAGTTCGTAAATATGGGTTGACAAACTATAAAATTGTCCTAGTTGACGCGACATTCCAGGAAGTGGACGAAAATTATCTGTCAGTACGTAATACACGCTTGTGAAGCTGAATACAAGACAGATCATAAAACTTTGAAAGAAGACAATTTCAAATGACTGAATTAAAAAACAATACTAACCCCTGCCCACATCTGTTTAGATGTGCGCCGGTAATGTCCTTGTGTTGGTGTTAAAATCCACAGTCGGACAAAAGAAATAGAAAAGTAAACCTTCTTTTGATTGCTTGACCATCTGGCTAAAACCAATTTTTACCTATCTTTTCTCCTGTTTCTTTAGCGACATTTCAGCAACACTTTGAAAAATCAAAGCGTTTTCGAAAATGGTGTGATTTAGCTATGATCCAGGATGGCTGGAAAAGACGACGAAGTTTACAATGAACCGAAATTTTCATTGTCTCCGTTTCTTCATACTTATACCGTACCATATGGCCTCTTATAGTAAAGCAAGACAGCCAGACGCTTTTGAACATAGCAAGCTAACAGAAGAGTGTTTACCAACGACACACTCGTTGGGTTTAAACGTCTTCGGGTCATCACTACCCCACAAGGGGGGAGTGATCTGTAGCGGCAAGTGATTCCCCAAAATCAATAGCTCGGTTGATGCTGACCACGTTAGTTTTGATGGAATGGCCTAGAAGAAGGTGCTCGGTCATGCATCCGCACCAGATCACTAGTGGGAACGCCATGCTCAATTACTTCTACAACCGCTAGTCAGTTTAAATAAATATCGTCGAACCTCCTCGCTTCTGACTTTTGATTTTACTGGGTGAGTACGATTCAATTATAAGTGTTGCTGGTCAAAGTGTTGTAAAGCTACAAATACGTGTAGTACTTTCGGATCAAAGGGCTTTCAAAAATGGTATGATTTAGCTATTATACTAGTCATTAAGAATATAGTAGTAGAAATATGACATATAAAATGCCGTTCTCTGCCTAGTCACGTGTGCTTTAAGTAGAAATCGAGGTGTTAGTGTGACTACTGCTTCTTCATGAGAAAAATGGATTCAGTTGGTTTCAGGTTCTTACGGATTAGGCGTAATTCTTTATTTAGTAGCAATGAATAACCATTGTAAGACGTGGACACATTCAAACTAGTAAAATGAAAAGACTCTTTTCAAACCCGTGAGTAATATTATCTCAAGTCTCGGGTCATTTATTTAAGGACTTCATGAAAGCTACTTGGATCACTTTAGGCTGTAGATGATTTTAGGAATTCATTACGCTATAGTACTGATAAATATATCTTTAATCCAACCCCTAAAGTTGAGATCAGTGTTTTAAAGGGTTCTCACAGATGTTTACAATATTTAAAGCAGTTGGTATATTACTTAAGATTGCTGGGAACAGAGGTATCTAAACTATTCCCTACTTTTGACAAATTTGATGGAAAATCGATTACTCCGACTTCCTCTTTGAAGCATACTGAAAATGAACTACTTTCCGTTTTTTTGAGTTTTAAAGCACTCTATCGTCATATCCATAACTTGAAAGTCGAACCTTATCTTTCTGAAGCAATAACCACATATCTGATTGTAGACTTCTCTTCATGGCCTAACATTACCTGTGGAAAAATAATTTAGAAGATACCGGATAAGTAGGGTAATTTGTGCAGACTGAAGCATCCAAAGGGTACTCGTGTTAGACTCTGAGGAACTGAAACATGGTTTATTTCGGGAGATCGATTAATCCCTCTGACTCTAAACGGCCCACGTTTAAAAATGCCTTAGTATCTACCTCTTTACACTTGGTGACGGGATGATCGTGAATGAGCTTCTCACAAGCTTTCAAACAGCCTGTATATATGATATCTGCCTTATCCTTATGGTCAGCGATTTCCATCTAGCTCTCTACCGCCGTCAATATGTTCGTAATACGAGAGTGGTCCTTCTTAAAATCGGGTCGCTACGGTACAGAGAAATTAGTGGATAAGAAAAAATCACATATTTCACCAAGCAATGGAGGTTGTATAACAGCAGAATGCTACGAGGGGTGGACAAACAGTGAGTTATATAGTCTGTTAAGAGACCTGCTCTGAACAACAAACTGTAAGGAGCTAACTTCCGTTTAATAAACTTTAAACTTTTCCTAGAGGAAGTAGTAATTTGTAGTATAAGGAAATGTCTGCACAAGTTTCTATGTGAGCCGTACTGTATCCCATCTTCAGGAAATGTCAACTTAGATCCTGCTTAGTGCCGAATCATAGGAGGGGATTGTCGTTGATGTGATACGTCATAACTATATTTACACAACCCTTCTAAAATGTATTGGTTACGCGTTAATGGCTCCAGATGAGCTTACTGGATATCGTGTTGTGGTTTGGATTCCTTTTAGAAAGATTTTCTTCTAAGTCATTCAAATATAGCAAGATCTTTCACACGGTAAGAGAGAAAGGTATACTAGCGTTATAAATTGAGGCTTATGTGGACACCAAAAATTATTTTAAATAGTTCACGAGTCAGGATAACTAAAGTTCTACGAATAAATCCCGAGATAATGCGTTATTGGTGGAGGAATGTCAAATAAAGGAGATAAAGAGTATCGCATAATGTGATGCTTAGATCCTTTTTGTAGAGACGATTGTGACATTGAAACCGCCAAGAAAATGTGCACTATATCTTCGTTTTCAAAGATTAGCATATTTAATTTGAAAGTGTAGAGAAGGAGGATATTTCCGTTGATTCGATAGGATGTCGTACATAAGTGTCAAGGGAGGTTAAACACTGTAATCATCGGCTGTTATTTGAATGTGTCAGATTACCTTCGACTGAAATGTTTACTTTGATTTGGACTTGAACGTTGGCTTTTCTTTAATGCTCGCACACTCACTGTGGTAGAATAAGAGAGCAGTAATACAAACTAACAAAATTACTTCATGAACACATATTCAACCGTTTTTGATGGTAGTTTTGCTGTCAGCAGTTACTATTAGCGGTAAATATTGTTGATAAAACAAGAATTGTAATCAGCCGATCCGGTTAAGCCCAAACTTTCGGATAGTGTATACATTGTTCTTTATCTCACGTATCAAGAAATTTTCCTGTTCGTAATTTAAGTCATGACATTAAGTCATGTTGCAAAGTCTAAATATTTAAAGGACCTTGTATTTTGCTACAGATCTTCAGCTCACTTGCATACGGCAGAGTTTTGAAATTGAAGTTTACAAACTGAGCATTTCACTGATCATCGTGAATTCTATGCATGTGTCACATAGACTATCATGACTTGAGATGTCTCAAATAAGTGATATTTCATCCAGAATACCGCCCACTCAATAGCTTTTGTTCGTCTTCTTGTCAATGAATTCAGCCACCAGCTCTACTGAATGCTTCGCAAATACCTAGGATGTCTACTTCTATCAGATGGTTGTATTGGACTGAGGGTCTAGTAATTTCAAGGAGCTAACAGATTTATGTCACATTATTGGCCTGAAAGAAACCCCTTTTGGGATACGGACAGAGAAAGTCTATTAAGAACACATTTTCAAATAATTTCATCAATAGCTTTACATATTCTTTGAGACTCAGAGTGCATGGAAATCGGTTAGTGATTGAAAGCTTACCTTTTGTTACCTTGTTTATATACAGGACGGTCTACACTTTGCTTTCAATCATGAGGTGTTCTTATTTTGATAAAATAACAGTTGAAGAGATAGCCAAGAAACAGGAAAATTAGAACTGGTCATTTCTTCAAAACTCAGCTCTGGATTCTTTAGGTGACGAAGATTTCGTTCTACTCAGGTGACTAAGAATCTCTTTGACTGAGAGAGGCTCGAAGTCGGAAATCTTTAGGCTGCTTTCGAAAAAATTTAAGAAGTTTTTATCGAACAAGGAAACTTTAGGACATAGGATTCCTCAGCTGGTAGCCATCTGGCCATGAGACCTCTTTATTGCTGAGAAATCTCGATACAGTATTTTCTATGTGGGATGTAATATTTTTGCCGTCAATAGTGGTGATAAATTATTGTTTCTTGCCAAAGCCTCCATAAAGCGTGCCTCAAATATTATCTTGTTCTGTTCGACTTTCAGGTACTCTTGTAGCGTAGTGTCGCACAAACACAAACAGTCTTTTTTGGTACTGAAAAGACTGTTTCTTCAAAGTTATGCATTTGCTTCTGATGATTTGTGCGCACTAGGACTTAGGTAGGAGATGAACCTGAAATGTTTAGATTGTACCTGGTGGGATGGGATATACTTGTCGATGCCACTTGTCGGCTATCGCATCACGTGATATAAATAATCAGGCATAAAGGTACAAAAGTTTCGAGAAATACCGCAATTTTAATAGTATGATGAAAGTAGTACTACAGTTGACTAATGTGGATGATGAAATATGGTGGGATCGACCAATTGGTCAATTGACTAACAATGGTATTTTTCATACCTAGCCTTGACTGTTGAGTCCAGAACACCAATATCAGCTTCCATTATGCGAATCACACATATCAAACATACCTGATTTATATAAAAAACCGGATCACATCACACCATGAAATAATGAATAGCAGCTGAATTCACAAATCAATTAAAGTCAGACTTCCACGGGGAACCTGGAAGCACTAAGCTGCCGTTTCTTGAAGGAAGGGGGCTCCTCAGCAGCGCGCATCTACGATCACGCACGCGGGGTTCGAACTTGCTGAATCCATGCGAATTTGCCTGCTAAAAAGTTAATGAGTAATATTGCAATTTTAGGTATCGTCGGTCTTTATTCCCATGTAGCATATATTCAGTAATCGCTATCCTGCGTACTTCCTCCTTGAATCGCTTCATACTTTACTTTTTGGTCTGTTAAGTGGCAAGCAAAATTATAGCGTTGCTAGCAGTACCTACACTGTGACTACAAGGACGACCAGAAGAAGCAGATGTCTAAATTCAGAGGTTAATTTTAGGTCGAACTCCGTTTTTAACAGGAAAATCAAGCCAATATCAGATAAAGGCGTTTACAGTAGTTTGCACAACATGGACCACTCAACCCAAACACCAAAACTGAATCTTCAACTAAATGATCAGGATCACACACTCAATTAGGCCCTTTCTCCTAGCAAGACCGATAAGCGAAGAGAAATGGGAGAAAAGGGAATCCCAAACTGCTCCTGCTGCTCGCCATCGGAGAAAAACCATGCATAAACTATGATA